AGGACTAACAAATCTGTCCTGGAAGAAGTGCAGCTGGAATGCTCCTTGAAAGCGAGCATGGCCAGACTTCCTCTCACCTACTTTGGTCATGTTGTCAGAAGGAACCATTTCCTGAAGAGGGATATCATGCTTGGTAAAGTGGAGGGTCAAAAAAGAAGAGGAAGTCCCTCAACAAGGTCGATTGACACAGTGGCTACAATGCTGGGCTCAGGTATAACAAGATCATGAGGCTGGAACAGTACTGGGCAGTGTTTCATTCTTATGCATAGGGTCACTATGAATCGGAGATGACTCAATGGCACCTAACAACAACAACAGGTGGTATGGCATCACACTGGCGTTAGGGTGGAGCAATCTGGCACTGCCACTAAAAATCATGTTCTTTTCAATAAAGTGCTGCTCCTTTCCAGCCCACAGCACCTAAAGGGCTTGTACCACAGGACCAAGAGCTGAGCATCATCAAGGGTTTTGAGCAGGGGAGGGGTCTTGGCAATTTACTGACAAAGTTCACTTAACTGCCCTGTGGGGGATGGATTGAAGGAAGAGGCCCTGAGCTAAGGCAGCGAGGATGTCAACATCACCACCACTTGCTCCACCATTCCCTGTGATGTCTCATGACAGTTTCTGCCCCAGTTGGTGGTCCAGTCATTCCTCCACTACTGAGACCCCTCTCCAAACTCCCTTTGCTTATTATCCTGTCCCAGTTTCCATGCCTTAATCTCCTCTTCCCCTTTGTACCCTTTGAGAGCAGTCTAGTTTATTCCCTGTTACTGGCTCTAGCAAAATATATTCTCAAAAATATCAAATTTGAATTAAAGACAGATATGAAGCCTAGATACTTTTGTATAGATTTTGATGCAATTTTTTTTTCTTAGCACAACATGGTACACTGAAAAGGGCCCAGAGTGATGGCTCCCAAAGTTTACTGAACATTAAAATCTGAACCTGGGTAGCTTTTAAGAGCCCTGATGCTCAAGTCTCACCACAGACCAACTAGATCATAGTATCTGGGGTGGGAGCCAGGTGTTAGTATGTTTTAAAGCTCTCCCGATGATTCCACTGTACAGTCAAGTTTGAGAGTCACTGGCCTAGGGGCTAAGAGACAGAAACATCTGGGTTCAGGTCTCAGCTTCTTCACTGGCTTATGGTGAGACCCTGTGGCAGCCTCTCCCCAGGCTCAATTTCCTTGGCTATGGAATGATGCAGTGATTATGGCTTTGAAACTATATTTATTTTCACAAATCATTCACTTAGAGCCCCAGAATTAGAGACACGTCAGAAACCTGACTGGAGTCCTTGGGTGGCACAAATGGTTAATGCACTTGGTCACTAATCAAAAGATTGGAGGGTCAAGTCAACCCAGAGGTGCCTCAAGTGAAGTCTCCTTCAGAAAAATCAGTCATTGAAAACCCTATGGATATATTTAACCCAAATAATAGATTATATTATAAAATAAACAGTATCACCCATGAGGAATGTGCTCACTTAAACAATATGAGACTAAACGGTCAACATTTACCCCAAAACAAAGATAAGAAGGCAAAGAGGGAAAGGGAGGATAGATCAATGGAAACAGAACAGATGGATGCAAATTACGAGAATGTTGACACACTGTGCAACCAATGTGTAACCGATGTCATGCAACAATTTGAATAAAAATTGTTAAAAGGGATTTTAATATAGGAAAACTTTCACCTAAAACACAATAAATTATTATTTTAAAAGAAAGAAAAATCCTACGGAGCATAGTTCTGTTCTGACATAAATGGGGTGGCTATGAGTCGTCAACTCAATGGCAACAGAATAAAACCAATTTGAATGCCAGAACTACTGGAAGAGAAAAAAAGAGGCATTTCTGAAGAAATAGTTACTGAAAATCCAAAGAAGGAACAACATACCAACAAACAGAACTGGAAGATACCAAGGCAATAAAGATGCTTAGCAAAGAAGCAACAGAAGGGGGGTGGATAAAGTGACAGTTTAGTGATAAGTATATCCCCATAGTAATTTTCTTTATCATAAAATTTAGCAAAATCTTTAGTAATGTAGCAAGGTATAATGTTCCCCTTTTTAATCCCAATAAATTTGCTTTTGGTAAATTAAAAAAAAAAAGATAATAAAGTTCAGATCTTGGAGAATAGAAATCATGCTAAACTTATTAACACTTTCCCAGCTCTCAGACTCTCATTATACTCTACACACTGAATTACAATCCACATTCAGAAGAATAATAGCTAACTCATATTTACCACCAAAAAGAATCCAGTAGAAATACAAATCATAGCATATTAAAATAAGGAATACATACCCTTTTCTTTCTTTTTGCCTTTTATTTATAAAAACCAGTTACTTACCATTGTGACTGACGAGAATTCTATAGCAATGCACATCTGGGAAGAGTTGCAGTACCCTTATATCATGGAGAGGACAGCCCCTCAGTCCACATCATTATGATGGGGGACATATCAAGAACACATTGGGTGTTGACAGATTGTCGATTGCTAACAGGAAAGTATATTTGCAGATGATTTATGAGTTATTCAGAAATCAGGTCTCCACCCCAATTACCTATTTATTCTTGTCTCCACCCCTAACTTGCTTTTGCTTTTGACCTTCAAGAGTAGAGGAGGAGAAAGCTCCCATTTAATGAGCCTTCACTGTAGTGAAGGAACTGCTGGATGCGTTACATATTATCTTATTTGATCCTCAAAGCAGCCTAGAATATAAGAATTGTAAATTCACATCACACACAAAGACATGGGGGCTCAGGATGCCAGCCACACAGCAAGGTTGACACTAGGGTTCCTGAAGGCATAAGAAGAGCCCAGTGGGTCAGCCTACTGGGCCCTTCAGGCCTGGGGCTGTGACTAGAGAGTAAAAAAGTGACAGGCCCCCTCCATGGCACTGGGGAACAGCACTTGCAGACCAGCTTTGCCTGGACAAGCCACTGGGGCTCAAACAGCTGGAATTTCCTGAAACTTTTCTTGAATCTTCAGTCTTTACTCCCTGCTGCATCAAGTAGCCCTTGCTTCTCTTTGTTCAACAATCATCTCCTTCCAAGAAAACACTAGTTGTCCTCATCATGCCTACGACAGCCTTTGGGGGGTGTCAACAGAGTCCTTTGATATATTTGAGTGACCTACCATTTTATCCCAAAATGCCACCCTCACAACCCATTGTTTTTGTTGTTGTTGTTAAGTTCTGTCGAGTCGTTTCTGACTCATAGCGACCCCATGCACAGCAGAACAAAACACTGCCCGATCCCGCGCCAGCCCCACAATTCCTGCTATACTTGAGCCCATTATTGCAGCCACAGTGTCAATCCATCTCGTTGAAGGCCTCCCCCTCTTTTGTTGACCCTCCACCCTACCAAGCATGACATCCTTCTCCAGGGAATGGTCCCTTCTTACAACATGACCAAAATAGGTGAGACAAAGTCTGGCCATTCTTGCTTCCAAGGAGCATTCTGGCTGCACTTCCTCCAGGACAGATCTGTTAGTTCTTTTAGCAGTCTATGGTACTTTCAGCATTCTTCGCCAGCACCACAACTCAAAAGCATCAACTCTTCTTTGGTCTTCCTTATTCATTGTCCAGCTCTCACATGCATACGAGGCGATTGGAAATATCATGGCTTGTGTCAGGCGCACCTTAGTCCTCAAGGAGATATCCTTGCTCCTCAGCACTTGATACAGTTCCTTCACAGTTGACTTTCCCAGTGCTACATGTCGTCTAATGTCCTGACTGCTGCTTCCGTTGGCATCAATTGTAGAACCAAGCAACATGAATTCTTTGACAACCTCAATGTTCTCTCCATTTTTTGTGATGCTCCTCATTGGTCCAGTTGTGAGGATTTTTGTTTTCTTTATATTGAGAAGTAATCCATACTGCAGACTGTATTCTTCAACCTTCATCAGTAGGTGCCTTAAGTCATCCTCACTTTCAGCAAGCAAAGTTGTATCGTCTGCATATCTCAGGTTGTTAATGATTCTTCCTCCAATCCTGATACCACGTTTTTCTTCATATAGTCCAGCTTCTCGGATTATTTGCTCAGCATATAGATTGAATAAGTGTGGAGAAAAAATACAACCCTGACGCACTCCCTTCTTGATTTTAAATCATGTAGTGTCCCCTTGTTCTATTCGAATGACAGCCTCCTGGTCAAGGTACAGATTCCTCATGAGTACAATCAAGTGCTTGGGAATTCCCATTCTTCTCAATGTTATCCATAATTTGTCATGATCCACACAATCAAATGCCTTTGCATAGTCAATAAAACACAACCCATTACTTATCTGAAATCTCACCATTGCCTCCTTCCACCCACAGATTAGAGTTTAGACCTCTTTACCACCTGACACTCAAAGCTCCTCTTAAGTGGGCTGCAGTGATCCTTCCCACCCTCCTGTAGTCCTGAAACTAGGCCTCCCACTGTCCCCTAACCCAGCTTGGGTGAGCTTGCTGGCTCCTTTGGACAGCTGGAGAATAGGTTGCCTCACCACTCACCACACATTCCGGCCCTCCTCTTCCATGTCAATGTAGTTAAACTGCCTGGAGACCCTAAGTTCCTGAAACACCAAGTTTGATCACTTTCCCATAGTGTGAGTTCCACTTTACCCAGGCAAAACTAGAAACTTGCTTTCTCACTGTAATGGTTAATTTTATGTCTCAAGTTGGCTAGGTTATGGTGCCCAGTTGTTTGGTCAAACACTGTCTAGGTGTTGTTAGGAAGGTATTTTGTAGATGTGGTTAACATTCACAATCAATTGTCTTTAAATAAAGGAGACTACCCTCAACAATGTGGGTGGGGCTTAATCCAATCAGCTTAAGGCTTTAAGAGCAAAAACTGAGGTTTCCCTGGGAAGAAATTCTGCCTGAAGACTGCAGTATCAACTCCTGCCTGAATTTCCAGCCTGCTGGCCTGCCCTGTGGATTTCAGACTCAAGACTTCAACATAACTCTCTCCCAAGTTTCCAACCTACCCCTATGGATTTCAGACTTACCATCTCCCACAAGCGCATGGGCCAATTCCTTAAAATAAATCTATTTATTAAATCAAGTTTCCATCTTTCACTTCTCTGTCACTTTTGTTTTGAGATCATCTGCACGTGCAAGCACTTATTCCTCTGACTATAACCACCCAGAGCTAGATCAGATCTCACAGGTTAAAGCACACAGTCTTCCTTCCAAGTCAGCTGAAGATTTCACATAGCCTCCACAAACTGGGGTGTTTTTAGGGCCACCTCATTTCTGATCTGCTGACTACCAATTTGGGTCTTTCCAACTCTCCTTTCAGGATGCCAGTCACAAGCTGAGGGGTCCTCTGTGCTCCCTCACTTCTGACCCAGTGGTTACAAATTCGGGGGTTCCCTCTACCCTCTCAGAATTCCAGCCATAAGCTAAGAGGGTCCCAGCTCACCTCACTTCTGACCTCCTGGCTTCCTCTACTTCCTAAATTCCATAATTCACTGAAACAAATTGCAGAACTCACAGAAAGCACAATACGTACAATTACGTTTTTTTTTTTTTTACAACAAAAAGGATACAAATGACAAGATGCATAGGGCAAGGTCTGGGAGGGTTCCCAATGCAGAGCTTTCACATCCAAAAAAAAAAAAAAATTGATGTCTTTCATCCACCAGGAAGCCCAAGGAGCTTCCATGTCCAGAGCTTTAATTGAAGTGGTCCTTATGAGGTGGTATCACGTTGCTTAGAAGTGAGGAGGATGGTGAGACTTAGTCTCATGTACTTGGACATGCTATCAGGAAGGACTAGTCCCTGGAGAAGGACATCATGCTTGGTGAATGAATTGGTGAGGCTCAATGAAAAAAAGGAAGACCCTCAACAAGATGGATTCACACAGTGGCTGCAACAAAGGGTTCAAACCTAGTAACAGTTGTGAGGATGGCGCAAGACTGGGCAGGGTTTTATTTTATTGTACACAGGTTCACTATGAGTTGGAATCTACTCAAAGGCACCTAACAAAAACAATCACAAGGTGGGTCCCTCTGACCTGGCCAGCCCCCATCCAAGAGTCACCTCATCAGCATAATCTGTCAGGTCTGGAGCCTTCTTAGATAACAAACATACTTCAATTGTAGGAAAATTCCAAGGTTTTAGAAGTTATCTCTCAGGATCCAAGGACAAAGACCAATTACATCTTTTTTTTTTTTTTTTTTTTAATTTCTACTGTGATTTGGGCGAAAGTTTACAGAGCAAATTCATTTTCCATACAGCAGTTCATACACATTTTGTTTCATGGCATGGACTGCAATTCCCCACAATGTAACTTCCCAATTCCTCTCTGTAGTCACCTCATCCTCTACGTCCTTCTTTTCTATACATCCTTGACCCCTGAGCTATCTCCCAGTGCAAATACTGCCCTTCTTTTCTCCCATGAGTGATTGTTCTAAAGAGCGTATCTACCTGATTTAAATATTCACCCTATATGCCTGTCTATTGTTTGGCTGGAAGCCATGGAAGTGAGTTGAATTCCGGACCTGAAGGGTAACTAGAGGCCATTGTCTCAGGGGTCTCTCCAAGCTCTATCAGACCAGTAAACCTGTTTTTTTTTTTTTTATGATTTTTAGTTTTGTTCCACATTGTTCTCCCACTCTATCCAGGATCTCCTGCACTAATCCCTTTCTGAGTAGTTGACAGCATCTAGTTCTTCTGGTCTTACGGTCATATAAGCTGAGGTTTATGTGGTCCACTAGTCCCTTGAACTACTTGATTCCATGTGTCTTTGGTTTTTTTAATTCATTTTTGCTCTGGAATAGGAGAGACCCATTGTTGCATCTAGATGGCTGCTTGTGAGCTTTTTAGACCCACAGTTGCTACTCACCAAAGTAGGATGTTGAACAATATTTTTGTGTAGTATATTATGCCAGTTGAGCTTGATGTCCCCTGAAACCATGGTCCTGAGCCCACAGGTCCAACAGCTCACTCCATCAAGGTGGTTGACTGTGCCTAAGAAGTTACCATAACTTTGCCTCCTATTAGTTCTAGTTATATGGATATTCCTACAGCACACACAAATACGTATATAGAAATATCATCTGCCATCCTTATATACAGTTATGAGTATATTCACTTTTGCCTAGACATACTTGATCATTCAGTCTGTCAACCCATCTATTTACCCATAGATTAATGATTGCTATCACTAATATCAGAGTTTTATATATGTACAAGTATTTATCTTTGTTGTCTGTACCTCTTGTGGACCTCTCTGTGTCTTCCTTTTCCTTAGTGTTATTGTGTTGGCCACTTGTTTTTGGAATATTTCCTTTCCCTTTACCCAAATCAATACTTGTCTCTACCTATTTAGCAGTGTTCCCTCCCTCCTCTCCCATTCCTGGTAACCAATAAAGTTTCCTTCCACATATAAACCTTTCCTTGGCTGTTTACAATAGCAAACTAATACAGTATTTGTCCTTCTGTGATTGACTTATTTCATTCAGTATAATGTCCTCCAAGTTCATCCACGTTATGCAGTGTTTCACAGATTTCACATCATTCTTTAGTGTTGCATAGTATTCCATTGTGTGTATGTTCCACGGTTTAGTTACCCATTCTTCTGTTGGGGATGCAGGTTGTTTCCATCTCTTTGCTATTGTGAACAGTGCTATGATGAACATGAGTTTGCATATGTTCATGTCCTGGCTCTCATTTTTTTAGTATATACACCTATTAATGGGATTGTTGGGTCAAATGGTATTTTTAGTTCCAAATTTTTAAGGAATTGCCATACTGATCTCCACAGTGGTTGTATCATTTTATAGTCCCACCAGCAGTGTATAAGAGACCCAATCTCTCCACATCTTTGCCAGCATTTGTTATTTTCTGCCTTGTTGAACTTTGCTATTAGTGCTAGTGTGAGATGGTATCTCATTATCATTATTATTTTTTGATTTGCATCTCTATAATGAATAATGATTGCAAACATTTCTTCATATACTTGTTGGCTGCCTTAATATCTTCTTTGGTGAACTGTCTGTTCATGTCTTCTGCCCTTTTATTTATTTATTTATTATTGTGATTTGGGTGAAAGTTTACAGAGCAAATTCACTTTCCATACAGCAGTTCACATACACTTTGTCTCATGGCACTGACTACAATTTACCACAATGCAACAGCTCCCCTCCCACTTCCTCCTGTAGTTATCTCTTCCCTGTGTCTTTCCCTCCAACCAATCCTGCTGAGCTATGCCCCTGTGCATACACAGCCCTTCTATTCTCCCATGATTGTTCTCTCCAAGGAGTGTCTCTACATAGTGTAAATGTTCACCTCATATGCCTGCCTTTTGTTTGGCTGGAAGTCACAGGTGTCAGTTCAATTCCAGACCTGAAGGGCAGCTAGGAGCCATAGTCTCAGTAGTTCCATCAGGCTCTATCAGACCAGCAAACTTGGTCTCCCTTTTTTTTTTCCCAAATGATTTTGAGTTTTGTTTCACATCATTCTCCCACTCTATCCAGGATCTCCTACATAGATCCCCCTCCAAGTGGATGACAGTGGTAGTTGGGCACCATCTAGTTCTTCTTGTCTCATAGTCATATAGGCTGAGGATTACATGGTGTACCAGTCACTTAGACTAATTGTTTCCATGAATCTTTGGTTTTCTTCATTCTTCTTTGCTCTGGACACACAGAGACCCATTGTTGCATCTAGATGGCAGCTTGCTAGCTTTTAAGATCCCAGTCGCTACTTGCCAAAGTAGGAGGGGGAACGTTTTGTGTAGTGTGTTATGCCAATTGAACTTGATGTCCCCTGTGACTATGGTCCCAAGCCCACAGGTCCAACTACTCACTTCCTCTGGGTAGCTGGTTCTGCCCAAGAAGTGACTACAACCTGTCCCTTGTCAGTTCTTCTATACAGCTGGGAATTCTTACAGAACATAGTGATATACTTGTAAAAACATTGTCTGCCAACCTTACACATGGTCTTGCTTCTGCCCATTTTTAAATTGGATTGTTTGTCTTTTTGATATTGAGGTGTTGGAATTTTCTATAAATTTTAGAAATAAGTACCTTGTAAGATATGTCATTGCCAAAATTTCTTTCCCCAAAATCTGTAGGTTCTCTTTTCACACTTCTGGAGACATCTTTTGATGTGCATAAAAATGTAATTTATAGAAGGTCCAATAATCTAGTTTATCTGCTGCTGTTTGTGCATTTTGCATTAGGCTTGATAGTCTATTTATGCTGTAAATGAGGGGCCCTAAGTTTGCCCCTATTTTTCCCTTGATGAACTTTATAATTTTCAGTTTCATATTTAAGTCTTTGATCCATCTGAGGTTAGTTTTTATGTATGATATATGAGACTTGTTTCACTTTTCTGTAAATAGATAAGCAGTTTTGTCCACATTATTTGTTAAACAGGCTACACCTTCCCCCATTTAATGGATTTTGGCCCTTTGTCAAAGATCAGCTAACCATAAGTTGATGGATCTATTTCTGGGTTCTCAGTTCTGTTCCACTGGTTTATGTGTCTGTCGTTGTACGAATACCAGGCTGTTTTGACTATTGTGGCTGTGTAGTAGGTTTTGAGATCTGAGAGTGTAAGACCTCCTACTTTGTTATTCTTCAATAGTGCTTTGCTTATCTGAGGTCTCTTTCCATTCTATATAAAATTAGTGATTGGTCAATAGTGCATTACCAGTAACACCAAACACCAGGCTATGGATAAATGCATAGACAGGTGAGAAGATCAGGTGGGGGTCAGCAAACAGGAATACACTCTAGACCAAGGATAGATTTAGTTGAAGATAATCTTACATATGCATTTGTGCTACAAAATTAGCCACACACATTACAGAAGCAACAGAGGACAGAGTTGGAGTAATTTCTCAGAGACAACCAAACACCTTGAGATAGAGAATCACTGGACCTGCCAACTTGGGACTGTATTCTTGGGGGACATCATGCTCAATTGGCACAATGTACCTAAAAATCTTGTCCCACAACCTACTTTGGTGAGTAGTGACTGGGGTTTTAAACGCTATAGAGCAGCCATCTAGGAT